TTCTTATAGTTATGACTTGTATAATATAGGGTGCTAAATGATGTACTAGACGTAATATCCATTAATAGATAAAGAATGAACCCTAGTGATGTGCTCTTCAGAAAGGTTGTTTTGGAACCTAAGATTAAGGCTTGACCATCAAAAATATTTTCAAATTTTTTTGATGGCTCAAAATTTATTCTTATTGTGAATTAAGAAAATTCACTTCAAACCCATGGATATGATATTTACTTTTATTCAACAATACTATGGCCATATTATAGTAGAAAGTTTGAATAACGTCAAACTAAAATGGTGAGGCACATTGAAGTATAATCAAAGCTTGGACATTTAGAATGAAGGAACGGTATCAGACACTAAATTTATGGAGAGGTGGATAATATAATAAATGTTTATTTCTACTTTATTAATATTAACATAAGAGACATAACAAATCTTACATAATGAATAAAACTTGCCATGATAATTATATGATTTATTATGGTCATCAATCATTTTCTTAAGGAGAATAATAAAGCAAGGATGGTGGAAGAAATATGCAAAAGTTGTATAAGTAAAATAGATGAATAAGAAATAAAACATAATGTAGATAATTTTACCTAAGGATTTTCCAATGCTCACATGCAGCAAGTGGGAGATTGGAATATGTCCCTCTTAACAGTGATATTTTCTCCTCTTCTTTGGAATTTGACAGTCACGCGGTAGGTGGAAGTCACCACTTTAAACACATTAAGGACTAGTGTGCCAAAAATGAATTTGTAAGTGGTCGGGGCATTCACCACTATGAAATCTATCATAGAAATGTATTTTTCATCTACTTCTCCATATTTTATTAAGAAAGAAATGACTACATGGGTCTCTTTTCTCTTCTCTGAGAACTCATAAAGATGTCCCTAAGTAGGAGCAAGCTGAGCGTTCATCATATTCATCTTCTGAAATACTTTTTTGAACATGATGTTGTCTGAGCTTCCGGTATCTACTAAAATAATCCTCATTTGATTGTTGTTGGTGACTGCGATAATGCCTATGGTGTCATTAAAAGGGTTTCAACCTTTTAGTAAGCTAACTTCTGTGAAATTTATAGGGGGGGGGGTGGTTAGAAGGTGCAGTTCTAGCCTGAGAGCTTCAAATTTATCTTCACTGAAGATGGTGGGTATGACGTCGGTGATATAAGATTGTAATGGAAACCAGTTCATCAGGAACTGTCTTGATTGTTGCTTTACTTGCCTTAATGCATGGGTTTCCGACACAACAATCTCTTTTAGCTTCCCTGCTCTGATTAATTCTTCGATCAAGTTTCACAGGTGACAACATTCCTCTGTATCATTTTCATGATCATATGATAGACATAACACTTGTTGGGATTTCTTTGGAAACTTCCAACTTTCATCGGTGGAGGTCTCTTGAAAAATTATTTGTTCTAAATGATCTATAATATTTTAACCATGGATACTCGCAGTGGTGTGAATTCCAATATGAAGAATTAAGGTATCTTTTGTCTTCTTTTTAGATTCTTCACAATAAGCCCTGATAGTATTGCTTCAATCGATGATATGGGCGAGGATATCGTTTGGGGGCATCTCACTAGTTTACTTGCGGGAATCTATATTTGAATCAATGATGCTCGCAAGAATCTCTTTGATGGAGCTTATCGTTCAATCTTTGCATGCGAGAGTGGTTCAATAAAGAATTATATTTTTCTGTGAAGATGTGATAATTGGCCAATTCTAGGAGTTTAGCCAAGCTTGTATCAAAATGTGTCTTCACATAGGCCTTGCACGAGTGTCGAATGAGCGACATAAGGTTCAACAATTTCAATGATGAGTATTTTGCGTTGGATCTAGTAAAAAAGCTTCTTAGACGCTTGAATGTAGCTTATCAGATTCTTAGCAAATCTCAAGAGTTTTTCTGTGGCCTTTGAACGCTAAGAAACTGAACTATCGATATTCATTTAAATTTTCTAAAAGAAGTGATAACACATACTAGCAAGTTGTTAAATCGTCACAAAGTTTACTCTTTGAGCATTGTGAGGAATAAACAACACTTAAGAGCGCCATTTTTTTTGTAAGGGACAAAGAGATGATTAAAAAGAGGCTATGTAATTGGCCGGATCAATGCATCCGTTATAAGAGTTCATAGAGGGAATTTTGAACCTATTTGGGGGTTCTACCCCAATGTTTTCATAGGAGAAAATATTTTCTAGTAATCTTCTCTTTCTTCGCATTCCTCTTCCTTCATCTTTAGAGGACTCCAAAGTCACTTCTCTTTGAATGTATGACATGTCATTATCATCTTCCTCTACTTCCTCAAATGTCAGATCTAGAGATCTCCTTACCTTGATCCGAGGTGGCTTTTCTCTGAGTGGTTAGTCTGTCTATTATTTTTGCCTTTGTGCCACTGAACCTGACAATCTCATACAACTTCCCAAATGATTTTTGAAATGGTTTTTGGTAACCTATTATTTTACTTCTTATATCCTCTTATTCATTTGTTATCTGAGTTCCTTCATCTGTTGTGTCACGAACTGTCTAGTGCAATCCATCGTTGTTCCTCGTTTCTCCTTGAAATAGAGGTTCTTTCAACTGGATTTTGATAATGAGATCCACGTTCGCTACACATTTTAGAATGATTTCACCCAATATTTCGTTGAAAATAAATAAATAAACAAATATATATATATATATATATATATATTTTCAAAGTAATTTGATTTTTGAAAAAAAAAACTAAAAAAATATAAATCAATTATATTTAAAAAAATTATAAAAAAAATCTACTGCCCCTAAATTTGGTTAGAAGCTTCTGGCAAAGTTTTTGAGAAGATACAGTAACTATGTTTGATATGTTCTTATTATTACTTAATATATATAGTTGATGCGTGCTAAAAAATTTGCGGTGGTAGAGTAATAAATTATCGTTTTAGCGTTATACAAAAGTTCAGCACACACAGATGAAATAGAAAAAAATGGTGGACTTCAGCAGTTTTTACGTGGAAAACCCGTGAGGGAAAAATCAAGCGTGGCCAAGTTGTGAAAATCCACTATTGATTGATGATTACAAAAATCCCTTGTCCCATAGACGGGAAAGGGTAACTATATTTTTTAAGGTACAACGTCGACTGATGACGTCTGGTTAGTGGTGATCGATGACAATATGTGGAGGTTGACGACGGTCAGCGGTGGTCGATGACGATTGACAGTGATCGACGACGGTCAGCTGTGGTCGAAGACGGTCGGCGGTGGTCGTATGAGGTCGACGGTGATCGACTACAGTCGGCGGTGGTCGTCTGAGGTCATTGGTGGTCGACAGCTTCTCCTCAAGGCCTCAGACTCTCTCTAGACTTCCTTCTCCTTCATGAGAGCGATGAAACTCTATTTATAGTGTTATAAGTGCAATTAATGCATGAATATGAACCATTTTGATCGGACGGTTTGGAGAGCTTCCCTCGATCATACGACGTTTAATGAACATTTGAGTGCCTTAATGATGTCAAAATTGAGTGATCTTAGGCTCGTTGGATTTGTCTTGTGGATCCGCTCGATTTGAGTTTAAACTTGTCATATTTCACAACCATTTGACGTTACAAATGTGTCCGAAAGTCCTCCAAAGGTGATTTAATGACTTGATCTGAGCTTGATTTAACTCAGATTAGACTAATTTTTATATCATTAGGTCCGTCTCATCTAGCCGATCAGTTTGACTATAAGTTTGCTGAAATCGGACGCTCTATATGACTTTTTATCAAGATTTGAACGTTTCTTATTCAAAATATCGATTTGGGATTTGTGTCATGCTTTGAGATTCGTGCAGAATGATGAAAATTTATTGGTGCCGTATAAATTTACAATATTTGGTAAGGCTCTTTCAAATAGAACGATTACACCCGGTATTTCTTTGAAAATAAATAAAAAAAACATATATATATATACCTATTTGCCTCCGTGAAAGAGCCTTACCAAATATTGTAAATTGATTTGTTTATTTACAGCTCGGATGTGTTAGCTGCCAAATCTTAGATTTGAATATATTTTTTAAGCTGATCTCCCTCTTGTAAAAATAAATAATGCGAACTCACGCCGACGACCCACGGCCGACGACGAGTCAACGTATAACACGACTCTTCCTCTCCACCCATCCACCCATCGTGTTTTGCTTAAAGGCATCCAAAAATAGCCCATTTACACAGCAACCCCCATGCTTTCAAGAAAGGTAGGTCTCCGCCTCTGTTTATGCGGGAATGTTCACACACACACGCGCGCGCGATATCTAAATAAGAAAGAACTGAATGTTATGCATGTAGGTCTTCCTTTTTTTTATTTATTTGAGTGGTTCTCTAGGGCTGTCAAAAAAGCTCGTGTTCGGCTCACTATGTAACTCGTTTGTTAAGAAAACAAGACGAACACTAACATGTTTTTAGGGCTCAAATTATAAACGACCGAACACGAACAACTCTTTGTTCGTTCTTGTTCGGCTCGTTTTAACTCGAAAAAAAGAAATTATATAATTATTCATATAATAATATATTATATATATTTATATTTAAGTTTAAATTGTAAGAGCTCGTGTGGTAACATGATTATGTGCCTTATTTTGCATGTATTTGATTCAGGTTCGAATCCAATATTCTACAACAATTTTTTACCATTTAATTTTAACGAGCTAATTTCGAGCCGAATGCGAACACGAACACGAATATCTAATTGGAGCCGAACAGGAACACACTGTTCACGAGCCGATTTCGAACACGAGCCACTTTCAAACGAGCCGAACATGTACCAAGCCTGATCTCGCTCAAACTCCGCTCGTTTGCAACCCTACTTGACTCCTATTTTCGTTGAACTTTTTAATAAATAAGATAAAAAAAACTCATTCGATCGAAAAATAAATCAAATAATAATATCCTCAGCCTCAAAATTCATGCAATTTCACCAAAACACGCGGCACTTTCTGCAAATCATACAAACAGTCTACCAATAAGAATTATTCGTACCCCGCTCAGGCTTTTCAACTATTTTTCGCATGTGCGTTCATCCGCCACTTCTCTGCGCTCTCCTCGAGTGCGGGTTCTTCGTCAGTTGCCGGCGACTTGAGGCGGCGGAGAGGAAAGCAGGCCGCCATGAGAAAGGGCGTAAGGAAACCTAAGCTCAAGCTCGAGCTCGCGCTCCCGGCTCAGGAAACTTCCATTAAGAAATTCCTGTACCCATTTCCATTGATCTTCTCCCCACTTACTGTGCTACGTTTCTTGTTTCCTCAGAAGTTCTGATTACTTTTGAGCCTAAACGCAGGACGGAGAGCGGAACTTTCAGGCATGAGGATTTACTGGTTAATAAGGACGGACTTCGGATTGTGTCTCGCGGCGAGGCGGGCGAGGTAGCTGTGGTCTTTTTATGTTGTTTTATCTGGCTTGTGGTGTTTTCGATTGTACTTTTGATTGGGGTTTTTGAGCCTGAAGTTTGGGTATGGAGTTGCTGTTGCTTGTAGCCATTGATTGGTGTTTTGGTCCTTTTGGATGCATTTTCTGATTATGAATTCTGTATTATATTGAATTCTTGAACAAAAGATGCTGTTGGGAAGTTGGGTTTACGGTCGGGTGATATATCTTAATGAGAGCATAATACATGTTTATCTTTTTGTTTGTCGACTCTTGACTGTATGAACCCTATGACTATGAAAACGTTGCCATTTTTGCTCAACTAAGTTATTAACTGAACTTATGCATGCCTTGCAACCACAGAACATGATAAGTTTTTGCAGTGTTAAAGATATGTTAGAATTTGAAGCCTTACTAGAATATTACTTACCTTTGGCAATTATTTTATTATTTTATTTTAATTTTAAATTCATTAAGTTTATCTTCTTTAAAGTCTTCGTCAGCTTATTTCTATGGTTTTATTGTCAAATTGTAGAGTTGTTGTGAAGTTCTGGTAATTTCCTTTTCCTATTTGTATGGATGAAGCCAAATTTGTATAACAGAATGCAACTTTGTTAATACATTTGGATTTGGGCTTTGTTTTAATATTGAGGTAAGATAAAGGAATACAAGGTATCTAGTTGGTATTGAAATGTAATATTAAGTACCATGTTCTTGTAGACTTGAGGAAACATTGTAAGTTCCAAATGTAAGGATATATTTTTTATGTAATGAAGTGCAAATAACTTATGCATTTTTGCTTTTAGGCATTCAAATGGAAAGAATAAATGTGGTATTTTAGGGCCTTGAAGCCATGACAATTAGGATTCCTTTTTTAGTGCTAAGTTCATGGAAAATAGTTACTTATTTTTATAGCATTAGAGGTGAGTTGGGGGCATGATACCCAATATGGCATTCATTTAATGCTGAAAACTTCAAAACATGTTTTTTAATATTGCAATATAATTGAAGGAATTAGCTAGTTGGTGATTAGATGTTATTTAGTTGACATGTGATTAAAAGGACGAGTTTGCATGCCAGAATGTTAGCCAAAACCTTATGATGAAAGCAATTGAATATGGTCAAACTATTATTGTAAACCTTTATTCACCAAGTCATATTGATCAAGTCATCATGAGCCTAAACTGAATTCTACACATCATTGATTGTGAAGAGACTTGAAATGCCTTTAACTTCATACTTACCAAACTTGAAGTCACCCAAAGCTTTGATTTGTATATTGTTAAATGCTATAAGACACACTTAAGCTTGACCATATTCGATTCATGGTACTAAGCTATTGTGCTTACCAGATGACTCATAAACTCACCTATTGATTAAGGTTAATTTCCCAAAGAACTTGGCTACTTATTTGAAGTACTCACATGTGGACTTGGGGTTCTCAAGAGCACTCGCCCTTGATATGAAACTCGCCTGAAGTTCTGACTTAGCAGAAAAAATATAAATTAGATTTTCCTACTATACAACTAGCTACTTTGATTCCATTTTTATGTAGTTTTTTATAATTTTTCTCATGTAAAATTTTTTTTAAAGTGCTAGCCTCACTCTTGTCTATAAATAAGGGGCAAAGGTTGTGTATGAGTAAATAAAAATTTTGACACATGAAATCAAATATGAAAGCTCATGCTTTTGGTCCAACCTTCGTCTCACCAGATTTTTCTTAAGATTTTCATAGATTTCTCTACTATAATTGTCTCTTTGCTCGGTTTGAGTTATCCTCCTTTGTGGATCAATCAAGTCTTTTGCTACCTAACCCACTTGAAAAGGTTCTCTTACGTTTTGCCCTCTCCCTTCCCTTTTCTCTCTTTGGTTTGGTCCATATATACAATAAGAACATGCTATCTTTCCACAATGAACAATGGATCTAATAAGCATTATTATTACTATCATCATGATAAACTTGTGGTAGATCAGTTGTGCTATGTGGATTCAAGTGTTTGTGACAAAGAAGTCATTGATAGCCAAATCAATTGTACTTGAAATGAGAATGATAGAAGAGTTTGATGGCAAACTTTGAAAGGCTGGATAGAGAAATGATTATAATAGAGGGAATAGAAGAGTATCACTTACTTTAAATAAGATGGTTGAGAATGGACTTAGTTTGTCTGGGCAAGTACAAAGGCGAAAAGTATATGCACTCATAAGATGTGTAAACAAAATTAATTTTAAAATAATAGGCGGTAATAGGATAGAACAAAGGTAATATGGATAGAAGTCATGGGAAAATGATTTGTATAATAAATTTAACACATCAAATAACAAATAACATGAATTAATTGAGAACGAGAATTAATAAAACCAATCCCAAATAATTAGGATAAGGTTAACTTTGATGTTGACTGCTAAAAGCCTAAAACATAGTAGTGAGAGAAAAAAAACAAGAATAGAGTAGATTTGGAATCGGATTGTGAGGAAGCTATTTGCACTTGAATTTAATGAGTTGTTAAAGGACTCATTAATTTGTAGTTGTGACGAAGGGTTAAAAAATTTATATGGTGATAATGCAACACTTGATTTAATGTAATGGTGATACTGTCCTAGGCTGCCTAGAAGGTGTCTTGGGAGCGAGTTTTGTGAGGACGTGGTTGTGGAATAGCAAGGAAGCGACAATAGGGGTTGTTAGCGACATTGGGAAGGATGTAGGAAGCAAAATTTGCTATTGGACAACAAGGGCGACCGTAACAGTTGTTTGGATTGAAAAAAAAAATCCAACGACGAATCAATGAGTTATGAGCGATTGGGCTGCTTTTCTGCCATGACTAGCAACTTGAAGTGCTTCCAACAGTTGTCTTGGTGAAAATAGTGGGTAGAACGACAAGCGATGAGATACAGGCGGCGAGAGGGATCCATCACCTATTTCTGGGCAAGCTATAGACACACCACTTGCTAAAGGAATAAACTATAGCACTCCAAAGAGTAGAAATTAGAGAAAAAATCTCCAAATACATTAACTTGGAAAAAATCGAAATTCAAATAGTTCAACACACATATTAAATTCTCCTAATAGGAACCAACCTAATTAAATAATAAGAAAATAGGAAAATAGGAAATACTATAAAGGAAAAAGCAGAAAAAAGGAAACTAGTTGAAATTAAATGAGAGAAAATAATGCAAATACTAGAAATATGAGCTTTAGCGCTTGCTCCCGTGATCGCGGAATTCTCGTGGTCTTGCATGCTGCAAAATTTCGTGATATTGCGATGCAACAAACATCACTTCTGTGTCATTCTTCGAAGAGGTTTATTCTTTTTTTTTTTTTAAACACATGGATTCCACATTTTGATGTTATTTTTCATAAAATATTTGCATAGATTTCCAAAGTAATAATTCACCACTTTTATGCGGCCATCTATTCGTAGGTGTGCCGCTGAATTAATTTGAAATTAAACACCTAGCTTACTCCATATAGCCTTCTGAAAATTGCTAAAAAACTTCTCATATCTACATGAAGTGATGATAACTTATGGGATAAATTGAATGTTAAAGAATCTTGAAACTCCTTTCGTGAGGGTTGCACCGCCTCAGATATCGTCTTTTCCGTGGCACTGTCTTCTAGCATTACTAAGGCTAGTGTTGTGGACTCGCTCCGCCAAACACCTACAAAATTCCAAGGAAATCCTAGCACCACTGACACCTGAAATTATCTAAGAACTATATTGCAAAGCCACTGCCCAAACACTTGCGGGCTTTGCTTTAACTGAATGGGTTACCGACAGCAAGAATCCCGTTCTTTCTTACACCTGACCTCTTTCAGGTTGGAAAGAATCGGGCTGCACAACTACCCGAACACCTTGCTGCTTCAAAGAATTCCTGCGGGTCGAATCCCTGCTTGCTCTTCGTAGGCTGTTCTTCCAAGAAAGCTGAATGCCTTCAGTCCAAGAACTTGGACTGTCGAAGATCCTGCAGCCAAGAACTCGTGGCTGTACCTGGACAGCCAAATAGCTTGCAAGACAGCCGAATGAATCTGTTAGTTAGTGGAATTGCAGGTTGTCGTTCCTTGCTGTCTACAGGTTTTAGGAATG